CTTGCTGCGGGGTCACCAGGCGATGGAGGATCAGCCCGGCTCGGCAGAAGGGAAAACCACACCCAGGCTTCCCCCTCCATCAGGGCATCCAGACTGTTCACGAGTTCCAGGGAGGCGGGGTGGCAATGATGAACAGGTGTCTGTCAAACAAAGCGTCATGTTTATGACCTGTTACCGGACTAAAATATTGCTAAGGTAGATGCTCTTCCTGAGGGAACCGGTTAGTTTCTCCAGTCTGAATACAAAACAGCAGTAGCATGGGAGACTGCAGGGGGGAGGGAAGAGGATGTGCACATTAGCCTCTACTTGGTTTTTTTTTGCTTAGAGGATGGCTAAAGAAATAATCCTGTCAACCTCTGCCATCCATATTTGGTATGAGGAGAAGCACCTATGACTGGGATGATTTTGAATCATCCTTTCTGGAATTAACATCCCCTGCTGCAGTTCACACATCTCTCCATGAAAACAATGAAAGCTACAGTTTTCTGATCTATTAGAAACTCAAGGGAAACCTTCAGTTCCTCATTCCTTATTCTGAAGTTATTTTGACTTTGAAATACTACCAGTAATCAGTGTTTGGTTTTCTTTTAAATTCAGTCTCACTTTGGTCATACAGAAGAAAACTCCTGTTTAGCCACCCAACAGGATCAACTCCAGGGCAGAGAGGCTCAAGGAGTATTAAAGTCACCAGGCATACTATACTTAGCATTAACTGCTGGGCAAGACTACAGACCTTCAAAAGGTCTACTCCCCTGCCAAAGAACAAGACCCTGAAGTGGACTCCCTAGGAAAAAAGTAACTTCATAGGCTGCACGCATCCCTCTCCAGCTGCAAGTACAAACAGTGCACCAACTGCAATGAAGTATCACCAATATATTGGTAAGGACAGACACTAGCTCAGAAAAAAAAAAAGTCTAAAAAAAAATCTAAAGTGCTTAAGGCAATTCTTCATATCCCCATTTACTAAAAACAATTGGACTAGCTGTTAGCAGCAAAAATTTGACATCTGTGCAAACTATTATATTACAAACTCATCCTTTCAGGGTATAAAGTCACATTAATTTCATCTAGGACATCCATTAAACTAAAACTTGCAAATCACAAGTCACAGTATGAAATACTTAAGCCTTCTTTTAACTGTCAAAGAAAAATTACATTTTTACATTGTGCATATCAAATTTACCTTGCAGGTTGCACTACAACTTCCTCAAAAAAGAACTTAATTTATATGCTCTTATGTCAGGTTGGAGATTACTCATGGTTCGTTGTCATTACACATTAAATACTCGTAAACATTCCCTTTATTTCCAGAAAGGAAAACCTAAATAGGAACTGTAACTGAACACCCAAGGTCAAGCCAGTGACTGGGCAGCATGAACAGGTACTAGACTATTTCAATGTTCGTTTACCACAGTCATTCAGCAGAACAAGTCTCAAAACAAGAAGCATCTGTCATAACCTTCCTTTCTCTAAACACCACCAGGGTCCAAGCGTGCAAGCCTCACTCCCTCACATACCACTGAATTCACAGCAACTGAGCCCCTAGAACTGACAGTCAGGTGTTCATTGCAGTAAAAAGGAAATAAAGGAGGAAGAAAGATTTAAGATTACTACACAGGCTATCTGGATAACAACATCATGTGTACATAAAGTGTGAAACAGATTCAGGATGCTGTTCATTAAGAACCACGTCATGAGTACCGTCATTTCAAGACCCAAAACACTAAAATGGCAGAAGAAGGTACAGTTAAACAGGGAATTGTTTTGCACTTTCCTCTGCAAAAGAGATTACAATTAACTTTATTCACAATGAAAATATTTAGAGATGCTCAAGTTCCAGATATGAAATGAACACTTAACAGCTCAAGGGTCCTGCCAACTTGATTTCTCAAGAGGAACAAATCTTTCCAGATCAGGTATTAAAATTAAGAACAAAATTTAAGTTTTCCACTGAACATCATAACCAGTTTATTACGAGTTGTTTCAAGGAATTTCTCCTCCTCTTGAGAAATCTTGATGGACAGAAAGAACCCACTGATACTAACAAAGTATTAGATTATTAGATGCTCAAGTTTTATGGACTAAGAGAAAGTACTTTGGCCCTGTAGGAAAGGAGCCAATTCATTATGGACCTTACCAGCATGAATTTGAAACAGTTTTCAGGTGAGATTATGAAAAACTCTTTAGTTATGACATAGTTGATTCAAGTGTGTTTCTGAAAATTATTTCTAGTCTCCTGGACTTGATTAAAGGGAAGATAGTAGATTTAAACAGTCTATAATACACAGGTAATTCTCATTTAAAAGTCATGTTTTCCACGAAGAATATAACAAGTTGTTGTTTTTTTTAGCTCTCCCACCATTTGAATTATTTAACTATTGTTACTAAGCTTCCAAACTAGGAGCTGAGATGATGGAACACCCAGGCTCAACATTTCACTTGGTATGTGAATGAAAATATATCACCAGAGATCCAGAAACAGACTCTATGTTAGTTGTCAAAGCATTTGTTCATCTTTGAATTTTCATTGCCCTTACAAAATGGGAAGGTGTTCAATTGGAGGCTATAAAGAGATCCTTTAGAGTATGATCCTCTGGAAGTCAGTCTCTTAACAACATATACATGGCATATAGCTCAAGCTAGCAAGTTAAGAGTGGGATGGCTATATATAAAAGCCACACTTTTGCTGGATAAAGAAATAATGCATTTTATTGGACTTCCCTGCTTATCCAGAAACTTCCAGGAATCCTCACTAGGCTAGTCAAAACAGGTAGCATAAATGGGCTGGGCTCAGAGGGTACTGCCTTATCACCAGGAATTTAGGGCTGTTTCTCCTCAATGACAGCTTTGATACTGACATGGCTGCTTGAGAAGTCTTAGCCTGCCTTGAAGCTGGCTGGAGAGAAAAGCTGAAAGATCTTTTACATCCTGCCCATCCCCTTTTCTCTGGGGAGAAGGATTTAAACCAAAGTTCTGACACCCTGGTTCCTAGCTTTGCCTGCATCGCAGCTTTGCTATCAGCAAAGATTCAGTGATCATTTGCATTTGATGAACACCGTGAATTGTTGGTTATGACAATCCAACTAGAGTAATGCCACAAAAATGGCAAGGCAAGAGATGACCAAAAATTAGGAGCTTCTGAGTGAGCAATACCATGCTGTGGTTTTTAAAAAGCTTTGGATGTCTGCTTCTGAACCTCCTACCTGAAATACTTCCTACCTCAATGGCTGGCTATCATAATGCAACTTTCAATGAGGACATAAGAATGTTTTGAAATACTTTAAATTTTTACATTTTCTGTAATTTGTGATAAATAGGAGCAAAACTCTAAATATATTTAAATGAGTTACTCGTGTGAAATAGAATTATTTTGTATTAAAAAGAAAATCACAAACTGCTCTTACTGTTTCTTCGTATCAGGCTTCCAAATTCTTCTAATATTCTTTTGAAATTATACTGCTGTGACATTTTGCCAGGCCAGGCTACCAAATCAGTATTATTTCAAAATACAGGTTTGATATCACAAGTTGTAAGGGGAAGCCCACTAATAATAAAATATATAGTCAAGTCATTCATGTTCAGAGAGCTAAGAAAATGGCATTTGTTATAGTCTTCATAGAAAAATAATATTGATACCAAAATTAATATTCAATTCCATAACAAAACACTTAAATACAATATTAGAAAAGTACATAGTTACAGGTCATGATTTCTCCACTTATTTTTCAAATAGGCAACAGTTAGTTCAGTTTTCTGTCTGACAATCCTGTCTGGATTCACAGTAGGTTCCTAGCATTTTAGCCCCAAACCATTGCATTATCAGTACCCAGGTCTTAAACAGCAGTAGGTAGCAGTTTAATCCAATGCTCACAAGCTTCTGTGAGTAGCAGCTACACAGGAAAAAAAAACCCATTCAGCAAAGAAGTGTTTAACAGACATTACTAGGCAATATTGTTTAGGCTACTTGTTGAAGCACTCAATCCATTTTCACTTTTCTG